GTTGACATATTCTGGATAGCACGGTGATCACATGGCGAGGGCACGTGGGGATTAAGATTCCCAGTGGTCGAGGTGCTCAAGGGATAGTGGGGTAGCTTGGCTGGACCTCCAGTTGGCATGCAAGATGGGAGGGATGTGTTGACCCATGGTGGGTGCAGCTATAGGGGTTATGCAGGCACGCACCCCTTTCTCTCCTCCCCCTCCCCTCAGCTGCCCCCTTTTCTCTTTTCTCCCGTCAATATGGCAACTACACGCGGTAATCGGCTGACTCTGTCTGTAGTCTATAAGGCGGATCAGGGGGACTGTTATTCTGGATCGTGAGTTGGTGGTATTTCTTTTGCCTACTGTCTTACTTTCATTTGTCAACAGATATCGGCATATGAGGAAGGAGGGTATAAATTTGGATCTAGGCGTGAGAATGGTGTGATCACATCCAGAGTTTCATCTCACCTGCTTCAGGCTGATCCTCTGCGTCACGGGGTGGCGTAGTCAGGGAGAGCAGGGAGTGGCCAAGCGCTCGGGTGAGGTTGCGCTGCCCTGTAACCCGCAGCTAGGCGGCATTGTGAGGCCTGGTAGAGAGCTTTGTGGAATTGGCCTAGCGTTTCAGGGGGGGGGTTCTAGTGGCCAGAAGGCTGAGGCCAGGACAATGCTGGCTGGAGCTGGGGTGGGGTTGTGCTGCCCTGTAACCTGCCAATGGGGTTGTGTGAGGCCTGGTAGGGAGACCTGGGAAAGTGGCCCCGGCGGTGCAGGTCTGGTTAGGTCTGTTGGGTACAACTTGGGTATCTTACGGAGGTGGAGATCCCTCCTCCTAACTTCTCGCTGAGTCGCTGACGTCAGTCCGCACATGCAATTTGTCGTTCGTTCTTCTCTAATTTCGCCCAATTTTTCTGAATTCCTTATGTGATCGTATGTTGTAGGCCGGAGAAGGGTGAGGGTATGGTGTTAGGATATCCGTAGAATGCTCAGTAGCTCAATCGATGTCTTGCTGATGCAGTCCCCTTCAGTGGCCCACTGATGGCCGCTGCGAGAATGACACCGTCTGGTGCTGGGGTGAGGTTGTGCTGCCCTGTAACCTGCTGCTGGGCAGGAGCATGAGGCCTGGTAAAGAGATCTGGGGAATTCCTTGGGGGGGCCCAGAGGAGGGCCAAGGCGAGAACGACACGGGCTAAAGCTGGGGCGAGGTTGCATTGCCCTGTAACCTGTTCTTGTCGGGAGCATGAGGCCTGGTAGAGAGCAGTGTCGACGGATTCCCTTTCTTGACCTGTTTCGGCACTGCTCGGATTTCTTGTTAAGCACACCAATGGCTTCATGAGGCCTGGTAGAGAGCGGTGTCGACGGATTCCCTTTCTTGACCAGTTTTGGCACTGCTCGGATTTCTTGTTAAGCACACCAATGGCTTTGGTAACTAGCTGCCTGCCCCAGCTTACCTCCCCTTTTTCGGGGTGCAAGGGTTGAGAGTAAGGGCGGTGTCGACGGATTCCCTTTCTTGACCTGTTTCGGCACTGCTCAGATTTCTTGTTAAGCACACCAATGGCTTTGGTAACTAGTTGCCTGCCCCAGCTTACCTCCCCTTTTTGGGGCGCAAAGGGTTGAGAGTAAGGGCCATCAGATCATACACGTAGCAAGCAGATGGGGAGGGGTGTTTCTTCGTAACATTCACTTCCTGGTTGAATAAGTGGAGGTGTAGGTGATAGTTGGTTGGTTGTTACACGTCCTGACTGTGCCTTTGTGCCATCAGGATGGTTGGAGGGCACAGCAGCAATACAGATGGTGGCTCTGTTGTGATAAGTCTTGTCGGAGTGGGGTACAGTGTAGGAGTGTGGTTTCGCCTCGGTGAGAAAATTCCTTTTCCCAGTTTTTCGGTGGAGTCATTTCCCGAATATATTCCGTGGATTTCCTGAACGAGGGGTCCAGTTCCGGTGTGGTAACTCCTTTAGAATTTCCCTGGTTTTGTGTTGAAGCCTGCAGTCATATTCATAACAAAAGCATGGGAGTTCTCTTATGTGAAACTTGGTGTTAAGGGATCAACTCAGCTTACTTCCTCTTGTTGGGGGGGCAAGGGTTGTAGGTGAGTGCCATCAGGGTATGTATGTATAGATCTGGATAGGGGGAGGTCAGTATTCTCTTCCTTGCCTAGGCTAAGTGAGGTGATGGGGACCATGGCAGCGGGGAGCACACATCCTGAAAGTGCCTTTGTGCCATCAGGATGGTCCCCAACCCAGGTGGAGGCTCGCCGCAGAGTTGGAAACAAATAAATATCACTAAAGCCATAATCCGATATTTGTATTTATCCCCATTATCCCCGATAGTCGGAATCATAATTAGTACGAGTAAGCTTCACACCTCACAGTGCTTTTACTTCTCGCCTATTCAAGTGGTGGTCTTTCACTTTGTATGATCAAACTGTTTTCAAGAGGGGTTTCCCACTTATATGCTTTCAGCGGTTCTCCCATACCAAGGTAGGTACCCGGCAATGCTCAGTGTCAGAAAAGGGACGCCAGGCCCATTTCCCAGCACGTGCTGGTCCCCACAAATAGATCGGAAAGCTTGTGTTCGGGGGAGAAAGAAAAAAGAGAACATTAGCAAGCATTGCCTCTGCACTTTGCTTTCAAGGATGACACGAAAAATCGAAGTAACCCAAGAAACGGCCCAAATGAAGTAGGGGAAGTGTGTGAGGCGGACGAGTTCACAGGTGGAATGAATGACAGAGAGCTGCTTGTCGTAGTAGCCGCCGGAAGCATGGCAGCAGAGTGATCTGTGGAAACTAAGGGCCTCGCCACACCACTGTCCAAACCAAAAGAGAACGAATGCATCTTCCACAGAAAACTGGTAAGGTGCACTCCTTGCTATTCATATAGTAACAGATGCCTCTTGTCCTTCTCTGAGGGAAGATGCACTCATAACTTTTTCGTTTTTCGTTTCGACAGTGGTGTGCCGAGGCCCTCCTAAGTGACATGAAAGAGAGGGCACGGTCTGACCAGCCCTCTGTTAGCAATGGTTTCCATGCGGTGTAGAAAAGGTCCGAATGTGGTCAGATTGTTTGACCTATTACAAAACTGTCTGTAGGATGGGTACAAATATATCCACTTAAAGTTTCATTAGTGTTTGCCGCACCTAAATAGGTACCGGGACCTGGGATCACCTCCTCATTAATGAACTTTGCAGATAAAAGAGCGCCTTTCGGAGTGTTCTGTAGAAACTAAGTGACATGAAAGAGAGGCCAAGGTCTGATCAGTGATCAGCCCTCTGGACTCAAGTTAGAGGCAGCGTACGGTGGTAGCCGGAAGGCTGACTAAATCGAAAGCAGAGCCTATTACAACCCCTATAGCAGATAAAAGAGCCTATCAGAGTGTTCTGTGGATACTAAGTGACATGAAAGAGAGGGCAAGGTCTGTCAGTGATCAGCCCTCTGGACTCAAGTTAGTGGCAGCGTATGGTGGTAGCAGGAAGGCTGGCTAAATCGAAAGCCCACCCCCCTAATGAGATTGACTGGGGCATTCCAATCGGCAAAAAAGCGTCCGGGAAATGAGCACGTACTGAGCTTGGGCAAGCCTTCCCTCATCTTCCACGTGGGTGTACGATTAGCCGGTAGCAGTTTGAACACTGCATGGCGCATGCATGCACGTTCTGACACAGTAACATCCTCCTGGCCGTTATTTTTTCCCTTCTTTTTCCCAAATTTGGACCATTTCTCGATACATGTGTGTCATCCTTGCGCAGGGGCCATGCTACTCTTCTCTGGATTGTTCCAATTTTAACGGATGTCCCACAAGACTGCAATGTTTATTTTTGAATAGCATGGGCAAGAGCATTCTTCTTCTTCTTCTTCTTCTTCTTCTTTTTCTTCTTCTTCTTTTTCTTCTTCTTCTTCTTCTTTTTCTTCTTCTTCTTCTTCTTCACGGGTCCCAACATGCGTTCCGCATGGAACCCTTAGGTGGCATAACAGACAGACCGCCTACCTTTGGTCATCATTTCCTTCTTGTAATTCTTCACTCCGATTCCCGATTCGCTTTCCAAACTACAGGACGCTACCCCTCTCCCCTCCCCGTATTTTTTTGCTGCCATTCTTTTACATCTTTTTTTTCCATTCTTGTACTTCTTTTTTTTTTTCTGCCCCTCCTGCCAGTGCAATCTGTTTTTTCTTGCCATGTCGGGGGGTGAACCATGTGTGTCCCTCCTGCTTTCTCCTTCTTCATCATCTCTTCCATTTCCTTCTTTCTGCGATCCCAACTTCTGCTTCTTGTATCCATGCAGGTGCTTGTCTGAACTTACTTGTAAGCGTGGACATGTAGCGTTTGGCCTCGCTACTACTTCATTCTATTCTGTTCCTTCTTTTTTTTCTTTTTTTTCCTATTCTATTCTTCTTGTCATCCTTCCCTCCTCTCTGTGACCTTGATTGGGCTTCAGCACCACACACGGTCACCACGCCCCCCCCTCCCCTCTCCTCCCCCCCTTCCCCTGCTTCCATATTGCTCTCTCTCTCTCTCTCTCTCTCTCTCTCTCTCTCTCTCTCTCTCTCTCTCTCTCTCTCTCTCTCGCTCGCTCGCTCGCTCGCTCGCTCGCTTTTCGCGCGCCTCCTCCTCCTTAGATCGGGGCTTGCATCATCCAGGAGGCTCGGGCCAATCTAAGGAAGAGGAGGTTGGCGCGAGACCTTGGGGAAACCCCAACCTCCTCGCGGAATGACTTTCCAACCAACCAACCAACCAACGAATCAATCAATCAGCTAACCAATCAACTAATCAACATACACGTACACAAACGCACTCACACACCCACACACCACCACCCACACGCGGAGGCACACACGCCCCCTTTCTCCCTTTCTTCTGAGGGTTTTTTTTTTTCTCTTTAGAAAGACATCTGTGGACTTGAACTTGTGATCTGCTCGTTCAACACAGCAAGGAACGGGTATCCATCTGTGGGAGTGCGACAGTGCGATCGAAAGTGCGATAGCGCGACAGTGCATGGGCGCCTCATCATGGGTTCGACTGTTCACACACCTGCGGTGCGACGACAATAAACCCATAGGATGCCACGTGTTGCAGAAGTTGGCTGTAATAGGAATTAACCAGACAAAATCCATGCTGGAATACGAGGACGGGATATTCTCCTTCTGTGGCGGGAAACACGAGAAGCAGCGGTTTGGGTGGTGGCGTGATTGGCGCGAGACTTGGGCTTCGTGACGCTGCAAACGTGGTGGCCGTCTGGCCGTTGTTCAGGCTGCTACGGCTCCCACCAGAGCGGTTGGTGGTCCCCACACACGGCCCCGTGGGCGGGACAGATGGGCCACTGCTGTTGGCACCAACCGTCTGCTGCCTTTGCCCGCCTGCATTGGGATTAGGACTCGCCTGGTCGCTGCTGCTACCGAAGTTCCGGTTTTTTTTCCCAACCTCGACGCTGAACGAAGCCACTGGAAACCCCCCATGAGAGTAGATAGATGGTCCCTTGGGGTGATCGCCTCCTCCACCAGGGTCATCACCTTTGCTTTTGCAATTCATTGGCACGCGCTCACAGGTCGTCTTCCTGGCACAAAAAAATGTGAACAGGAAGGCTGTGCTGCCTGCACCGCTGTCAGTCAGTGTGACGCTTCGACGAGAGACCTGCTGCTCCACCCACAGCCAGGGCTGCCTTGGTGGTGATGGCCAGCACCTCTCCCATGGCACTCTAGCAGTCTTTGGGACCTCGCACGATTTCTCTCCCGTGGAAATTGGTTTCCCTTCGGTGTGGCGAATACTCTTCTGTCTTTCTTTTAAAAAACTACACTATATTCTTCTCTCAAATTCTTTTTGCCCTTTCACTACCTACATACATTACTCCTAAGGCTATGTAGAGGGGACCCCTGCAAGCATAGCTACCTCACAATGAAGGGATTGCATGTTGCCACCTCCCCAACAGCGGTAGTCAGAGATGGGGTGGGGATGCCGACGGGGGGCCGGCTTGCCCAAAGTCAGAGCCTTTTGCCACTAGATGTGCCTCCCTTTTCAGCTGCCCCATCCCCATCTATAGCAGTAGTGCCTAAGGCCAACACTCTCCCACACACCACACACAACCCACTCAACACTCGCACTCACATCACACCCTTGTTGGCCAAAGACCCTACTAATATCCATCAGAGGTACGGAGTCCAGTATCACATCTGATTGGCAGGCAATTATGGGCCTCGAACCGACGATCTCCTGAATGCCACTTGCGTACCTAACCAGCTGAGCTAGGCATTTCGAAAAAAGAAAAAGCTTGCCTTTAGGTTTAGGGTCTCCTTTTTTTTTTTTTTTTTTTTTTTTTTTTTTTTTTT